ATGTATAAGGTACTTGTTATTCATGTTGGGTGATTTGTTAATAGAGAATATGCTTGTTTAGTAGTCACTAATAAGCAAGATACTTGTTATTCATGTTAGATGACTTTTTAACAGAGAATATGCTCATTTAGTGGTAGTCACTAATATATAAGGTACTTTTCATTCATGTTGAGTGACTTTTTAGTGATGGAGAATATGCTCATTTAATAGTTACTAATGTAGAAAGTATTTGTCATTCATGTTGTGTATCTTACTTTTCCTATTTTTAATAGGAGTAAAGTTGAAAAAAAAATTACTTTAAGACATATTTAATGAATTAACTGTCATTCTTTTTGATGAAATAATTGAAAATACCTTATAATAGAGACCAGAAAAGTATAATAATTATGTCTAAAAATAAAAAAAATTGGACTAAAATATCATGTGTTAATCAACATAAGCATGACTTAATTGTTTCTTCTTAATGTAAATTATAAGAGGTAATTTAAAAAATCATAATAAATACTTATTGATACCATTGCTGTTAAATTCTTAAGTTGACTCTTTATTATTGTTATATTTTTAGTTTACAAAATCATGTTAATTCACTTATAAAGTTAGACTAGATACAAATTCAGTTAAACTCATGTTGACCTCTGAGTTTACCATTATTTATATTTATAGCTTATAAAATCATGTCAACTCGTTCATAAACTCAGACAAAATGCAAATTTAATTAAACTTATTAAGCTCGTCATTTTTTGACCAAGTAAAGTGAGTTAAGTTTATACTATGTAGAGATATGACCATATTCAAATAAAAATAAAACTTAACAAGAAAAAATTTCTATAAATAAAAAAAAAAGTATCAAAAATAAGTTGTCATATTTTGAAATTTATAAATATGTTTAAATAAAATTATAATCATATTTTATATTTTAATTATTTAATTATATATTTTTAATAGTTATTTATTAATAAAGGTAAAATTTTAAAAGTTTGTGATCCAAGTTTGTGATTTGAATTTACATTCTCATTATAAATTTACTTAAACTCACAAGTTTGATAATTTTAATTGAGACTTATAAAAAAAACTAATTAAAAGTGACACTTTTGTTAACAAATAAAAACGGGGGAGCATAATTTATACTCCTTGTAGTCTTATTTTTAAGATATTTTTAAAAAATAATTTTTTATTCAAAATACAGGATACCTTATACTAATGAAATTATTTTTTTAATTTATTCTTTCTTAATTAATATAAAAATATTTAATATAGTTATTTTATTATTTAAAATTAAGTGTAAACGTGAAAGCACCTCTTACCTTTTTATGATATGAAAAAGTTAATTTTTTTTAAATGTATAAAACAATTAAAAATATTTTATAATAAATACATGAGCAAGTATTTGTTTTGTATGATTTCAAACATAATGTCAGAATGTCTGCAAAGTCAACAGTATGTAGTTCCCCAACTCGATCTTCTCGCACGTAATGGTTAATTCAAAGGTCCTTGGTTCCCAAAAAATACAAAGTCAAAGGTCCACATGGCGAGTTTTCAGAAACCTCAAAATGGTCAGCGTTGAAACTGTAAACAGATCCAGGTCCAGCTGTTCCTTTTCCAACTTCATCCTTTTTTAATTGATTGATTGATTGATTAATGATAACAGAATTAATAACTTTATTTGTTAATGTTGAACTCTTCAAAATTAGCCTGTCTCTGTTCCAAATTCAACACAAAGCTTACTTCAAGGTTTCGCACATATAGTATATCTAATCTGGTCTATGAAATGAAACAATTTTGAAGTTAGCCACCTCTTCCCACGTTATGGCAGCTGGATTTAATCATAATTAGCATAATTTGTGCCGTTAATTTGTCATAATTATTTAAATCATATATTCAGTCAACTATTGGCTCAATCGATTAAAAAGAAAACAAAGAAAATGCAGAGAGGATATTAATAGTTTGATTTGAAAAGGTTTTCATTTGTATCTTTAATAAATTTTTTAAATGCACCCTTTTTTGTGTATGACTGTATTAATTAAATGTTTTTATTCAAGAATATAGGTGCTCCCTCCATTTTTAAATTTGGACAAAATAATCCATATAATTAATGAAACAAATTTATTTCATAAAAATAAACATTGATTTTATGAGAGACAATTTGAAAAAAATGTGATAAATGCTTTTCAAAATTTTATATTTTTGTTTATAAATAAAAACAAAGAAACACAGTAAATTTTGCTATATTCAGAAACAGATGAAGTACACTACAAGCAATTATCTAGCTGTTACTTGAATAACAAAACTACCCATGTCCTATACAAGTCAATTCTGATTACCTTACTAAAATACCAAACTTAATAACACTAGCTTGTGTTTCATGTAACAACATGTTTAAAATATTGTTGGCTGGTTGATTAGTTAGGTGTTGAGTTAAAAATATAAAAAGAAAATTGGTAGTCAAATTATTGATGTCCAAAAAAGAAAGAATTTTTCAGTTTTTCTTTATTAAATACATTACCTTTAAAAACATTTTTTCTATCATATATAATGTTTTCCTCAATTTATAAAAAATGCAAAAGGATAGAATTAACAAAAAAAATTAATAATACACATTTTATGCAAAGTGACATATAAAAAGGACTATCAACTTTTTTGGGAATGTAACTTACATATAAAATTGGATGGAGTAAACTATGTCCGGCCAAAAAGAAAACTAATTTATGACATAGGAAAATATTGATTTTGGATTTTATTATTATAACAAAAATGATTTAAAAAATTAAATTTAATATGTCAATATCAAAAAATATTTTATCAACATTTAAAAAAATTAATGCAAATTTTATTAATAAAATTAACAATATTAAGACTAAAAGATTGAAAAGACACTTTTTAAAATTAAAAAATAAAAATAAAATATTGTGCAAAGTTAAAAAAAAATACATTAGTATAAGAAAGGGAGAACCAAGAGCATGTTTGATTACCTATTTTCAAAAACAATTTTTTATGTTGAAAAAAATTAAAAAAAATGTTTTAAAATTCATTTTTTATTATTTATTCTGAAAAAAATTAAAAATAGTTTTGGAAAACTAAAAATAAGAATATTTTGTAAATGTTTTGTTACTATTTGTTCAACAAAACTAGAGAAAAAAACATAAAATATCACTTTTTTATTAATGAAAATTATTTAATAAAATAAATTATTATTTTACCCTTGTTTCTTAATTTAGACATATTTTTCAAAATAATGATTCAAACAGAATTTTTTCATTTTTTGTTTCCAAAGTTTTGTTCTTAAAAAAACTACTGTACAATTTTTTTTTTAATAACATAAAAACGAAAGCAGAATGAAACAAGTCTCATGCCTTGCTCTTTTCCAAGTTTTTAATGTTTTTCTTAGTATTAATTATATATATATATATATATATATATATAATTTATACATTTTTCCTTTTCATGAAATTTGTAAAATCCTCATACTATATAGTATATACTTCCTCTGATTTAAAATATAAGCTTGTTCTTCCACTATCTTAATCCAAAGTATAGACAACTTATAGCATTTGTCAAAACAAATTTCATTTTACTCATTATATTTATTAAATTGCTTATATTTGTGTTTGTAAATTTATTATCTTTTTCTCACTCATCATAAATTAAAACTAATAATAAAAAAGTATGTATTATTTTCATGACAATAAGAATTTTATTTATATATAAATTATTATTAAAAGATATTTATATCTTGGATTACAGAGTGTGTTTTTTAATCTCGAACTTGCTTCATACTTAAATATTGGCTTCATTGTTAAAAACATGGTGGTTGGATCATACGAAAATCCATGTATCTGATAAACCAATAAAAATCATATGGGTTATAAACCGGCCACCTCCACACCGTGTGGCTTTTCCATATGGGTTTCGCACAATGCTAGGGCCCCATTATAATAAAGGGATGTATATATAACAATTAAAAAAATAACAATAAAATTTTATTAAAATATATAAATAACAATCAAATTTTTTAAAGTATTATAATTCATGTAAAGATACTTGATACTTTTTTTTACATTAATAATTTTAAATTAAATAATTAAATTGTCTCTAATTTAAAATAAAAATAACAAGTTTGGCTTCACTTTTCAAATCACAGTTTTTATTGTGTAAATCAAAAAAATTAAACAAAAGTTTATAACTTTTCATATAAATTTTTTTATGATTGATAAATAAGTTTTAAAAATAATTAATCTTAATCATAACTTTTGTTTAAGTAATCATAACTCTAATTTTGTGAATCACAATAATTGAATAAGAAATCACAACTTTTCATATAAGTCCGTTATTTTTTACCTTAAACAAAGGATAATTTAGTCATTTAATCTAAAATCATCAATATCAAAAAAGTATATCTAGGGATTTTAGAAAAATTATAACATTTTAAGAGACATGCTTGCCATATACTTTCTCCGTTTAAAAATGTAAGACATTTTTTGAAGAGTTGAATATTAAAAAATGTAAGAAATTTTTAGTCTTTCGAGATGTAATCATTATCTTTTTTTTTTAAAAGTGTCCTTATTGATAATAACTTTATATTTATTGTAAAATGTTTAATAGAAGTAAATATAAAAGATAGGATTAATTGAAAATAAGTAATTACTTTATTGGGAGGTAAGATTCGATTAAAAATATCTTATATTTTTTGAATAAAAGGAGTATACATTTGGGTGAGATTTTATTGTTATTTTTTCTATAATAATTCCTACCTAATATTTTTATATTAAGGGAATAAAAATATAATGTTACACGTCCCCTTATTCTCAAGGCAAAAAAAAAAAAAAAACATATATCCCTTGTTCTTCCCTCCCAAAAGTTGTGGCAAGTAACAATCACGTTATTAATATTTATATATCAATAAAATATTTACATGTCAAGAAACAAAAAAAATTATTTACATGTCAAACATTCATTTCTTGACTCACACACTAATTAGAGAGATAGTCAAAAGAGCACAAGCTTGTATAAATAGGAGCATGGATCTCTGCGCAAGCATGCACACAAAGTCACAAGCATCACCACCAACAATGGCTATCCACAATGTCTTCGTCCTCCTTCTTTCCCTCCTTCTCGCAACCCTAACTCCATCTCTGTCAGCCCCAACCTTCATCACCATCGACTGTGGCTCCAACACTTCTCTCTCCAGCGACATCTTCCCATGGCAAGCCGATGATTCTTACGTGCAAAACGGTGACTCCTACGTCGTTCAGTACACCAGCACTATCCCTCTGTACATGAGCGAAACCGCCATTTCCACTCTCAGAGCTTTCCCGACTCTCAAGAAGAACTGCTACACCGTCAACGTCGGCGAGGGACGGAAGGTTCTGGTTCGAGCAAGCTTCTTCTATGGAAACTACGATGGGAAAGAGTCTCCTCCGACTTTTGAGCTTCACTTTGATGGCAACTTCTGGGCCACCGTGAACACTTCGAGCCTGAGAGGGGTGTATCATGAGGCCATTTATGTCACCAAGAGAAACACGACTAGTGTTTGTGTTGCTCAGACGCTTGAGGATCAGATTCCTTTCATTTCTGGGCTGGAGATTCGAAGCTTAGAGATGAGTATGTACAGTCACGTTGATTCTGGCCGTGCTCTGTTCTTGTCTAACAGAGCTAATGCTGGTGCTAATTTCACCACTAGGTACATATATGTATGCATAGCCTTTTCTTTCTTATGATCTCTTTGGTATTATTTACATTACATTTTATATATAAAAGGCAAAAGTGTAATATTGCCTGTGAACTGTATTCAAATGTCCAAAAGCCCGGTAGGCGTAACCCTGCTCGAGCCAGGCACTAGGCAATGGTCAAACTCTCCCACCTCCAAATATGCAACTTTTTTTATTTTTTTGAAAAATAATTATTTTATTATAGTATTATCTTTATTGCGATTTATCATGAATTATAATATTTTTTATAATCTTTATGGACATTTCTTATCCTTTTAAATTTTTTAATCCCTCTCAAAATTTTAAATTTATTTTTTATTTAATATTATGTAAAGATTGGTAATTATTGAGCATATATAACTTTTAAAATGATTACTTTTGATCTTGATATTAATTTTATAAAGAATGAATATACAATTATCTTTTTTTTTGTTGATATTGTTTTATCTTGATATCTTTTGTTGAATGATTCAATTATCTCTTATTTTTTAAAATTAATTTTTAAGAAAATCATTTGGGTTGGGTTTGGTCACACACTGGGCTGGCCCAAATTGCATGTTGGACCAGGCATTGGGCAAGGATGATGCCCGGCCATTTTGCCTATGTGCACCACTAGGTCCTTCAACATTTGGGACCGTGAACTCTTTTTTTTTTTTTTTAATACAATTTTTCCTTTCAAATATTTAAAAACTCTGCAATGTATCTCTCGTTAATTACACGGTAATGTATGTAACTTAGTGTTGTAGGATCTGTATTTCTTCCCCACCCCCCCCCCCCCTCATATAACTTGATAGTCAACGTCCTTATAGTTAATGGAAGAGCACATTGCAAAATTACGCTAAAACAAGTTTATGATCACATATGCTCCAGTAATTCTAGTTTAAGACTAAAATTCGCTTTTCCGAGTCTCCATAATATTACTAATAAATGATGAATGAATATTGAAAACTGACAGGTATCCAGATGATGCTTATGATCGAATTTGGAGAGCAGAAGGTGGGTTTGTGTTAGTGGACAATGTGATCAACGAAGCTCCCTCCATTGATGCAAGCAAAGCAGAAGACCAACCACCCATTGCTGTTCTTCGAACTGCGACCACCACCACTGGAACTTCATGGGGCATTGTTCTCAACACAGACCTTCCTGCCTCCATCGAACCCATCTATATCACTGCCTACTTCTCCGAAGTCACTCATCTTCCTTCCAACCAAACAAGATCCATTCAAGTTGAAATCAACCATGTTCCTTTTTCAAAGCCATTCGTCCCTCCTTTTGGATCTGTCTCGGAGCTGCGCATCACAAACAGGACTGCGAATTCAAACACGTCTGTGGCTGTTTTTGCAGATTCAAGTTCCACACTTCCTCCTCTGCTTAGTGCCTATGAAGTCTACACTGTTAGTGGTCTGCTAACAGATGGAACGAACAGCGATGATGGTTTGGCTTTTATAATTAGTTTAAGCTCTTTAAGTATTTGTTTCAAGTATAAATCAAAGGTATAACTCATCCTTAAGACTAGTAGTCTGTTGAAAAGGACAGCTAAGAGAGAATTATTTCAGCTTAAAGTTCAAATCACTTGTGAGATTCCTTGACATGAGACTCATGACAATGCCACCTACAGTATTTGACCTTGTGTCAGTCACTGTCAAAACCCTTCATCCCAAAAGACTAGCTTGTTTGGAAAGAAAGCCTTTTATATTTATAAACCTTATTTTATTTGTGAGACTCCTAGGCAGACTCGTAACAGTATTATGTTTTATTTGGTGTCATTCTGAAATTGTTTGGTTCTGTTTTGGTATTGCAGTGGAAGGATTAGCAGCACTACAGGAGAATTTTGATGTGCTTCAGAAATGGAGTGGTGATCCTTGCCTTCCTTCTTCATTTTCATGGGAGTGGCTCGAATGCAACTCTGATGCCTCCCCACGGGTCACAACATTGTAAATTTCATGCTCTGTCTTTTCCCTTCCATTTTTAAACTAAAACATTAAGGAGCCACTTGGGTACGAGAAAGAATGGGAATAGAATGGATTAAAGAAATAAAACCAAAAATAAAGTCTCCATTTTAACATGATAAGCTGATTGGATATCTATCTTGGTGTCATCTTTTTCATGAGAAAACTCATTACTACAGATGTAGGAATCACCACATCCTCCATAAACCTCATGAATCGTGACTCCCTACCTTATGAGTTAAATTACCCATCCCCTCATGAATATGGTTGATCTATATCCCCTCTACCTTTCGATCATTTTAGTTTTTTCTTTTATTTCTTCAAACCCTTCTATTCCTTATCTTTTCCAGCAATCCAACAGCTCTTGACTGTGTATTGTTTAGGGCTTGAGAAAAATCCCACTTCTACTAATTTTCCAGATATATATTGCTATTGATTAGAAAATAGTAGGTTAGATCTTATATACTAAAGATATGACAACAAATATGAATGTATGTATTAGGTATGTTATGACACGCTTACATGCCCATTTATGACTGGTTTGGGCATATCTTTTGTGTATCGGTTTTACTTAATGAAACTTCAGCTGGACTAATTCATACAATTACATATTATTGTTCAGTGATCAAATTGTGTAGCCTCTTGTGTTTGACCTATCAGGAATCTTGGAAGCTTTGGCTTATCAGGAAGGCTACCAGATTTCAGTTCTATGATTGAACTGGAGACAATGTGAGTTGAGATGGCATTTCAATATCTGAAACATCAAAACATCCTCTGAGTAATGTCGTCTCTGTATCCTGAAGTTCATTGTCTGTAAAATTTGCAGTGATTTACATAATAACAGCTTGTCTGGACCTATTCCCAGCTTTCTCGGTTTGTTGCCAAAATTGAAATTACTGTGAGTGCCATTACCACAAGCAAATATTACAACAGTGCAGAGACTTCCAGCTTGAAATAAGCTTAATGTTATTTTTTTCATGTTTTACCAGGAATTTAGCAGATAATAGATTCAGTGGAACCATACCCAAATCGCTTTCTCAAAATAAAAACTTGAAACTGATGTGAGTGGATCTATGTTGTAGTGTCCCTTGCACAACTCTTCTGATTCTTTTCTCTCATTTTTTTTCTGGATCAGGTGCGTTATTCTAAAATGACCCTTTCATGTGTCAGTGTGACAGGTAATTGCCTATCTGGCATGTCATGTCCGCCGCCTCCTTCTTCTTCAACCCCTTCCGTCAAAACGCCACCACCATATGGGAATGCTGAAGGACCAATTGCTGGTTCTGGGGCTGCTGAAGGACCAGTTGCTGGCTCAGGTGTTCAATCAGGTGGCGCAGAGGGGAGGAAGATGTCATCCACATTGACAACTATCCTCTCTTTGTCGTTGTTTTTTATGTTTCTGGAGCTAAAGAACCTGTAAAGAATTGCTCTCCAACATGAAAAAGAATTGAACAAATGGCTTCATTTTGAGTTCAGATGGAAAATTAGATACGTTAATGACTAAATGCTCAGGGAGTTTGTTGCGTTGTTGATTTGTTTCGCTATTGCTTCTGATCGATCTTAGATATGTGAGATTAATGAGTGTTTCTTTGAAAAATGCAAATCCATACAGTTCATCGGCTGCATTTTGTTACTAGATGCCACGAGTTTGTTCTCAATAAAAGCTCTTAAATGTATCAAACCCCTTCCACAATGCTTACTATTGAATGCATATAGCTTACTGCTTTCAATCTTTGCAGCAATTTATGAAAAAACAATTTCGCAAGATATTTTTGGTTATGGATGTTTGTAGTAAACACTCGCAAGTGCTTCAAGAAATAGAACCCCTTTTTTTAAAAAAATAAAAATAAAACTCCGTTATTATTTCCTAAAAAATTAAGAAACTGATTATTGAGCCATTTAAGCATATGATTCAAAGATTAATAATCAAAACTACAGTTGAACCATAAATAAACCAGCCATATAAAATATGTTTTATTGAATTGATTAAAACACTAGTTCAATGATTTACCAATTCAACTAACAAAGTTGACTTGATTTTTAATGTTATACATAAAACTATACCGTACATATTATAGATGAGATATCACGACAGAAAATAATGTACTATAAGTTTAGAATCCTTCTCCCTTTACACGCCTTGCTTCTCCAACCAGCTCTACTTCCCTTACCCAACCCAATCAATTGGTGCAAAAACAACAAATAATGGGGGCATGATTATGCCAATAGCTTTATTGCCCAATAGCATATAAAATCTCTTTACAAAAAACAGGTCGTTTAATCATGCTTATAATTTCAGGCCATTAATGCCTTCCCCTCTAATTAAAAAAAAAAGAAAAGAAAAGAAAATGGGGGCATAACTTCAACCGCATCGCATAAAATTCTGCTCCACTCAAGGTAGTCCCCTCAAAATTTTGGATTGCCTCGTGGCTATCTTTTAATTACAACGTTTAACATGCATGTTATCTAGTGCTATTTGAACTATAAAATTGTACAAAACTTTGGGCGGAGACTGGCACAAGTTGACGCACCCTATTAACAGGGCAAAGTACTGCCACATTCAAGGAAACACGAGAGCAATTGTCATGACTCCTGCAAAAGGATTTCATAAATGTCTGTTCTCAGATTCAATTCCTTATCTCGCATAACTTCCTGGAGATCTGATAACTCTTTCGCAGTAAGTACAGGGTTCACTTTGAGAAAGCCATCCAACCATAGCTTTTTTGACCTGGTATGCAGATTAACAGAGAAGGTTACTAGTTAGGAATTATATTCAGTTTGTTGTATTATTTCGTTTTTTTTTTTTTCCTTTTTCTATTTGTTGTTTATACCACACTTTTTATACAAGTTCTCACCAGGGGCAGGCATGGATAGCTCGAAAGAAAATTCGTCGAGCTGCAGAAGGATCATGGGCAACGTTCATCTCATACTCAAGGTAGCAACGCCATAGTACAACTGACCTGCAAAGCGTATCATTACTCAATGCCCTTTCAAACAGCCCACGGATTCTGTGTTGTGAGCCACCTTTACACATCTCAAATGACAATGCAAAAAGCCAGAGAATAACTGATGGTTTCCTGAAAAAGTGCGGTCAAGGGAAATGAATCGTTATTTCAGTAAGATTTATATTTCCAGCAAAGAAAGTAGGCATTATTCATGCAAACTTATCCACATCAAAATAGAGAATTTAAGCTAACCTTAACAAAATCAGAACACTTGAACTAACCATAAATACAAAAAGCTTTATTTGAAACAAATGTAAGAAACAAATAAGCCTAATAAAAACAAAACAAACAAAATCACTAAAAACTGCTTAATTAAAATAGAAGTAACTTCTAGAAATAATATCTGGAGAAGAAAGATCTTACTTCTTAGAGAACTCATCCAGCATCTGCCGCAATTTATTAGAGGTTGTGTAAAAATGGCCAACCTCCACTACACCTTTAAGAAGTTCTGGACTGAGGGGATATATCTGAAGGCCCTGAGAAATGGACTCCCAGACCTTGGACAGGCTCGCTTGCCTCTGATGCCTCTGAAGCATCTTTATGTAATAATTTAACAAATATTCGAGTTGATAACTTTGGCTTCTTCTTTCTGCAAGTTGCAAACATCCAGAAAGCCATGATAAGCAACAAATTAGCATGAAATTCAGCATAAACTCTTGTGATGCTAAAATAAAATCAATACTAGCTCCAAAGGAACGATTGCCTAGGTCACATGACAAACGGCCCCTGCATTATATTCCAAAATTGAAAGTTTGCTACGTGATAAACTGCCTGGATTCTTCAATCTAATTACATATTATTTTTAACTGTAATTATGACCATTAAAGATTTAGTCTTTGCTATGAATCAAACATTTTAATCAATTTTTTTATCTGTTAGTTCACAGGTAAGATGATTAGATGCACCAGGACAAAAAATTGAGATGGACTGGAATTCATATAACATGAGGACCAAGGAACAGGCATGCATCAATGCATCAGGAAATATCACAAATTTCCAACTAACACAGTGTCCTACTATTTTGGCAGTTGTTACATTGTCTAATTTCCAAATAAAAAACTGACTTCTGAAGAATCATAACCTGGAAGCACCATTGCAAATGCCTGATCAAAAACTTCAACAACTGCATCCCATCCAGAGGTGAGCTCCTCAAGCAATGCAGCTGAACATATCAGAGCTACAGATTGGTCATTTATTATCCCACGAACCCAAGATGACCGTACAGTTATAGTTTTTTCTTTAAACCCTTGACGGGCTCTGAGCAATTGCAAACTTGATGGTTGACCTTTATATGGGCTATACTTTGTACCACTTCCTAAGCATGATAATATATGCATTGCACGATATGAAGCTTCACAATCATTAACAGAGTTATTAGCAAGCTCTGCCTCCGCATACCAGAAATATAGAAGAGGAGCACTTGATTGCAGTTCCTACTCCATGCAGTGAACCAAAGCAATGTAGTAAGTGAGAAAAAACTGATATCAAGAATCTGAGTGCAATTCATATAATTACAAGAAAATAATAAGGAGTTTCAAACACAATTAGACACAGCAAATCGTTTCTTCATTAACTCAGGGACCAACAAACATATATGGAATTATAAAGATTGGTTATTAGATTCACGCAACAGTCCATGTGGTCAGACAAAAGCCACTGAGGTTAGGGCTAACTTTTCTTTTACACAAAAAGTGCATTATATATACAAATATTGACAATAGGATTAATTTTTTTATAAGAACAATAGGATTAATTTTGATATAACATTTTATATAGGATTTATATCTTCATTAGAACAACCATTAAAAATCTTGCACATCCAGCTTTAGAAATATTATACTTCTTCAAACACTTTTTATTAGATATTGATATTATCTTATGATAGAGTACCGATTATGGTGGGATAATGAATAATTTGAAAAGTTAGAGATATGGTAGGAATAAATATTATTTTATTTTATTTTAGATATTTTCAATTTAATAATATTTCTTAGATTTTATTTAGATATCTAGATATCTATTTCTTCAGATTTTATTCAGTATTTTATATAGATATAGATTCTAAGAGATTTTATTCAGTTTTATTTAATTATCTAATTATCTAGATTTTATTCATTATTTTATATTGTATTTAGCATTATATATATGTTTAGCAACTCAAAAGCAGGCATATCATGAATAAAACAGAATCTTGAAATTTTTTGTCCTTTGAAGATTCTTCTAAGTGTGGCTATTGAGAGAAATATAAAACGAAACTCTTGTTCTATATCATTTTGATAGATTTATTCCTTCTATCCGTTCTATGTTCTCTTATTAATATTATAAAGTTAGATTCTGATTTCATGTGTTAATAGAGAATTACTCTTCCTTATCTCTCTCTACCCGTCTTGGATCCTATCATTTGGAATCAAAGTCATTCAATCCTTAATGGATTCCTACCATCTTTACACTACTTCTATAGCTTCACCCCCCCACCTATCTCAACTCGCACTTCCTTATCTAACCATTTTTCCTCGCTTTATGAGAGGCACCTATTCCTTTACATCATAGCTTGCCTTGATATCCATAATTCTACCATGAGGGCACCACCAACTGTGCCAACTAGCAAAAGAATCAAAACCAGCCAAATCCATTTAGGCATTAAAGGAGATATGAAAATTCAGAAATGCAAAACTCCTCAACCTAGAAGTGTGTACAAGCACTTGAATTTAGCCCCAAACAGTGAATCTAAGGTCCAACACTCTCATGGTCCTAAAAGAGTGCAACAACCTAGTCAAAATGAAACATTCTTGACTGGAAATACATTTGTTCATGTGGCTAAGGAGATGCATCCTTCTTTCCTTCATCTCTCGGAGACCCCAACAAATTCTAAGCCTTCTATTTCAGAGCTTGAACATGGCAAGGAACTCATCTCTCCTCTAAAAGACAACACTAAAGTCAAGATAGTGCTAGAAAGTGCACCACCTTCCTTTGCTGCAGGTTTAGGAAAAGCTGCTCCAGCAATGATGAAGCTTTAAGAGACCTTTGAGCACAAGGTTCTGAACTCGGTGGATAGTAGGTCTCACTGCAACTTTATCCTTGAAGTTTTCATGCAACCTCTCAACTTTTTGGAACCCACGTTGGAGATGCTGCCATTTATCTATTACTCCCATCTCAACCTCCAGATACACAAAAAAGTGAATTGCCTTTGTCTCACCTTGAAGACAAGGCGAATTTTCAAGGGGGCAGTATTAATAGAGTACAAATTATGGGAGGATAATGGGTAATTTGAGAAGTTAGAGATATGTTAGGAATAAATATTATTTTATTTTATTTTAGACATTTTCAGTTTAATAATATTGTTTATATTTTATTTAGATATAATTAAGAGAGGTAGAGGAAGGCCTAAGAGAACACTCTTGGAAGTTGTTGAACGTGATCTCTTAATTAATAATATTTCTAAAAGCTTAATAAATGATAGAGCACAATGGCGTTTTGCAATCCATGTAGCCGACCCCACCTAGTGAGATAAAGGCTTGTTGTTGTTGTTGTTGTTGTATATTTTATTTAGATATTTAGTTATCTAGATTTTATTTAGATATCTACATATCTAGTTCTTTAGATTTTATTCAACATTTTATATAGATATAGCTTCTAGGAGATTTTATCCAATTTTATTTAATTATCTAGTTCTCTAAATTTTATTCATTATTTTAGACTGTATTTAACATTATAAATATGTTTAGCAATTCAAAAACAAGCATATCATGAATAAAACAGAAACA